TGTGTGTCCATAACTTATCAACAAGTGAACATCAGAGTCACTGTGAACTATGCGTGCCGCTGAGCACTGAAAAGTCAAATCAGCATAGGGTCAAAAATTGTGTTTTTCTGCATGCAGTGTGCAAATGTGGTCTTTAAACTGTTGCCATTGGAAACTTTTCATTGCAGTCAGTGCAAGTGCTAAAAGAAGTTTTTGAATGATAACACAATATCTATTAAGTTATTGCTAAGTTTGACCATTATATTATATTAATAAAAGTGTTATTGAAATGTGATCATCTGCACCACAATGACAACATACACTCACTGGCCACTTCACCAGGTACACCAGTTTGACTGCTTGTTAATGCAAATACTGAATCAGCTAATCACATGGTAGTTACTCAGCGTGCAGATTCGGTGAAGAAGACCTGCTGAAGTTAAAACTGAGAATCGGAATAGGAAAGAAAAGTGATTTAAGTGACTTTGAACACGACATGGTCGTTGGTGGCAGTTGGGCCGGTCTGAATATTTCAGAAATGTCGGATCTGAAAGGATATTCCTACACAACTATCTCCAGGGTTTACAGAGAATGGTTTGAAAATGAGAAAATATCCAGTGAGAGTCTCGTTCTCTGGGTTGTAACTTGTTGATGCCCGAGGAGAAGGACCAGACTGCTTCACGCTAACAGGAATGCAGCAGTAACTCAAACAACTCATTACAACCAAGATATCTATGAATGCATGGCATTTTAAATCGGGATGTAGATGGCCTACAGCAAACACGAAGCTCAAATCATCTCAAATTGGTCCTTTGAACATTGTAATCAAATGGCCTCCACATCACCAAATCTCAATCCAGTCAAGCACCGTTGGGAACAGCAGGTGTAACTAATGAAGTGGCTGGTGAGTGTATTTCTGTGCTCATGGGTGTTTGTTTTTTTTATTGTTATACAGATTAGAAAACAATTTAAACGATAAGATAAACTGATTTACGAACAGAAATGCCAGCAGCAGGACCTGATATGAAGGTAGAAACAGTGTCTGCTCTTACCCTGAGGGAGCCCCTCTGACACAGCTCAAACACACCGTACACACCATATTCAAACTTCACTGTGCCATAAAATTTGGTCAGATTGTAGTAGTCAATGCGCAGCAGCTGGAACATGAAGACAGTGGCAGGGAGAGTTAATTATTTTTTTTATGTACTTTTATTAACCTCTAAGCTAAAACGCAGAGATATCTCACAGTGTTGAGCTCAATCCTCTGGTCCTCAGTGAAGTCTCCCTCTGTGGTTTTCAGCTCTTTCATGATTACAGGCTGAAGAACACAGAGAAAAGGACCGACATGATCATTTCCCTTTGAATCTTTTTAAAATCAGATTTTTTTGGATTGCTGATACCTTCTTGTCGTAGCGGCCTCGCTGCCTGAAGTATGTACTGTCCTTCCTCTTATCTTCATCAATCTGTTTCATAAACACACACACACACATTCTTATCTTGAACTGCTATAGATCTGAAAGCTTTTTGATCGTCAATGGTAAAAACCTTGAGATTTACATACATTTTAGGACATTTTAGTCATAAATCTGGTACGTGTAAAGAACAGGTTTCATTTTCAATAAGATAGCTGCAGATGTATGATCCTGTTCTGACACAAGAATCACTGAGCAAACAGGTCCAAAACAGAGCAGGCATCCATGACTTCACATTCACCGCCCTTCTAGGTGTATCACGTTCAACATGGGCTGCAAAGCAGCTTGCAGAGGCATTAAGATCATCTGTTATCAGCTGGGATTTCCTGACTCTTGGACATCAGTTTCACTTTTTATTGAACTTTAACAATTTAGCACATACTCCGACATTTTCATGTAGTCATATCTTATTTAATGCGTATCAAAAAGATATAGCCTTATTGTGTCATAGAGCTGCATTTCTTCAGCAGTCAGGGAATAAAATCTGGAGTTAAAGTTTGCTGCTAAGAGCATTTACCTTCAGAGACACTTCCTTCTCATCCAGAGGGCCAATCAGGTGAGGTTCGATGTGAGACCATTTCTTCTGTAGAGAGCGTTCTTTCCTGTTCTGCCTGTCAGTAAAAAAA